AGGAGTGCAGGACCCTCCTCTCAGTGGCCCAGCTCCACACCAGGCCCTGGAGCAACAATTCTCAACAGCGAATAAAACACTGAAAAATCCACTGCAATTTAGAAATACATTTTCACTACTGTAATTGCTTTGGTTTTGGCCAATACAATTTGTTTAAAGAAGGTAAGAAATATTCACTGTTACCAAAAGGGGCACATTTTTAAAGACTGAGAAAGAATATAAAGGTCATGTAGTTAAGTCACTCCATCTAAAATACTGTAGGCACCAGATGTAGCTATCAAGTCAGTGAGCACTTTGAAAATGTAATTTTTATGCACTTTCTATTGCATCCTTTTCTTTTTTTCCCCTGCTCTCAGTAAGTTTATTTATTTATTAAAATTTAAGTACAGTCAATTACAATGTGTCAGTCTTTGGTGTGCTGCACACTGCATCCTTTTCAAGTAAACATTTTCATGTTTGTTTAGGAAAGTATGTACATAATTCCTCTAAAGCTGAGGTGGGAGGTGCCTTATTCCTCCAGTGGAACAAAGCTGACTGAACATCTATAGTTCACCTTGCCCTGGGCTGGGCAAAGAGGTTACAGACACAGAGGACACAAAAGGATCTTGCCCACAAGGAGCTTACATTAATTAATTAGGTGCAATGCCTAGGGGTGTGATAGAAACAGAGGAGCACTCAGCATGACCTTAAAAACTAAGGCAAGGATTCCTGAAATACTTTTATAAGGATGGGTTAAGAAGCTAAGTCAAAAAAAAGGAAAGGAAAGAGAGAGAGGGAGGACATTCAATTTCAGGCAAAGAAATTATGAGACCAAAGGCACCACCGCGGCTTTGGGAGGAGGGCAGTGGTGGCCCAGCCGGGCAGGAGGAGGCAGAGGGGGCAAGGCCCCTGGACAGTTCTTATTTAGGCAGAGGAAGACCTAACAATCAGGATGAGCCTTTAAAGCAACTTTTGGCTGTAATGTGACCAAAAAGGTGTGCGTAAATAAAAGAGAACATTCTCTTCTTATCACACAAATAAATATACCACCCTAATTTATCGATTTTTTAAGCCAAAATTTTTGCATATCAGATAACAAAAAGAACATTTTCAGTGGAGACTAAGTCTCGCCTCAATGACTATCAAATCTAAGCATGAAATGTCCTCCATATTACAGAATGCACTCCGTGGCCCAGGTCTCACGAGTGGGGAAGTGGGCTGACACTAAAAGGGAACCAGACCATGACAGAAGCAGAAAAAGGGTGGCATCACTCACCTGCAACCCTTCATGACTACACAGGAACCATGACCACCTCACCAGAAACATGGGGAAAAGACAGTTTATAAAGGTACTGAAAGGACAAAGGGTATGGGGGTTGGGGAGTCGAGGGTGAGACAGGAAGGAAACATAAACTGAGTTAATAATTTTGCCTGATTATAAGGAAGACATTTATATATGGAAAAATACAGTGTTCAAACATTAAGGAAAAAAACTTCCATGTTGGAGTTATCCTTTTCCTTTTAGTAAGAGAACCTAGTAGTTACCTATTCTACAATTCCATATTCTAAAAAAGAAATTCATTTTCTAATGCAGATAACACTAAGAGAAATAGTTTCAAGGATATCAACAAGTGCAACAATTAGGAGCAAAAAGTTCAAACTGAACTAAACTCAATGAAAACCAGGTCTAGTGAGTTTAACCCTCTCAGAAAGCAGTGCCTCACTGTGTACTCTAAAAGTAGCTCTTACAGAAAAAGGATAACTCTTTACAGGAATAAAGTTTTACAGAAGAGCATAAGGACCAGTGCCTGTTTTTTTAACAACGTATTTTCCATCAACACAACTTCAGTGCTTATTTTCTTCTCTCCATTAGAAAAAAGTTGAGCCACTGGTCTTATAGGAGGAAATACAAGAATATATCCGATTTTCTTGCATTTACCAATCTGAAAAAAAAAATTCTTAAGTACAAAAGAACTCTGCAAGAGTATAGTAAGAATGTGTTATGAAAGCATATTTGAAAAGCATGCCTTCCACTTTAAGACAATAACAAATGTAATTTAAAGTAACATATCTATAAAGCTTTCTGCAATCTCAAGGGACCATCATAAAGATGACACAAGTTACTAAAATTACAAGACCCAGATTATAATCCTGTTATCACTGTGGAAAGTATGAACTCCAGCATGGCACTCCTAAATAACAGGAAAAGGAGTTTGTCAACCACTTCTTGGTTGGTACCATCCATCAGAGCTCTGTCACTGAAAAAATTGGTAACGTTATTGCAAATCTATGCAGAGTACCGGGGCTCTCTGAAGGCATTGTTTGCTGTTATTTCTATTAACAATCTGATGTTCCCATCTTGCACTTAAGTACTTTAGAATTGTTTTATGATATATGAAGACTGTTTCATAAAAACAAGTGACTAAGCAAAATATTTGTTTCCACAGAGCTTTGTCAGAATTTTGTTTATCTGTGGAGAACCATATTAATTTCAACAAAGTCTCCAAATCTCAATTTTTTTAAAAGCACAATCCTTAGGAACATCAAATAAAATCATAATTTCCCCTGAATATGCTGCCACTTAATTTCAGCTACTCTTCAACAAAACGTGTAAAAATGAGCACCAGGAAACTTCTGTACTTATGTTATCATCTATTTTCTCTCTGGTTCCCACAGAAATTCCTTTCTCCAAATTTCTGTCTTCTGAACCTGCTTTCTCTGCCCAAATACATGTGAAAAAGCAAAAAAAAAAAACAAAAAAGTTCTGTTAATAAATTAAAATTGACAGTCACGGAATATTGAAAATAGTAATAATGCAAACTATTTTCAAATTTTTAGTTAAAAAACTCAATAATTAAAAAAAAAAGACTAAAAACAGCCAACACCAACATGTTCCAACAGTCCTGCCAGGCCGATGTCATTCCTATCCCCCTCTTAGAGATGAAGAAAGTGAAGCACCAAGAGGGGAACTTTTAATCAGTAAGAAGTCATGCCATGCTTTCACCTCAAAAAGTCAACGCACATTAACTTTTCAAAATACAGGATGAAATTTATTTCTAACTAAATGCAGGTTTCAAAGGCAAGTACACAAATCAAATTTATGGTTGAATAATAAACTTGCTAACCTGATGCCTCTCAAAAGTATTCCACTTTAGCAACTCATGCAAACTTTTTTCAAGCTATTTCTTATAGCTTGGTTATAAAACTAACTTTCAGAATATTAAATACAGAGAAGAGTTGAAAAACCACAATCATTCCAACTTCTGTAAACTACCAAGACTGTAAATTAGAGGGATCCAGGCAGGTGGGGAAGTACAGAAATTGCCCACTGCGCATACTATCTGACCACCACAGAAGTGAACATCACTCTTTCCCCCTGAGGTCTTTGCAAACTACAACTTAGCACCTATTTCAAGAGTATTTTAAATATTTAACACAAAATAAGAGACCAACTAAATATTGTAAGAGAAAAAAACTTTCAAAAGGGAAAATTATCTTGGATGCTTACAACATTCGCCTTCAAGTTGATACTATCTTTTTAAAAAACCCTCAAACTAACTTTCCTGCACAGTCCAAAGAAATTTTCCCGTTCCTTCAGTTATCCAAAACTTCAAACTTCCACAACATTTAGGACAAGTTACAGTGCAGCCAAGGAAAGGGTCTTGAACGTGTGGGACAGCTACCTCACAGTTAATCTTCTTTAGTTTCATCTCAGGCAAAACTAAAGACCGTCTTACGTAGAAATGGCTGGGGAGGGGGCACAAAATTACACTGAAGTCTGAACAAGTCTTAAGTTTTTACATTCTGTTTGGACACGACTGAGAAGCAGGTGGTAACAGATTCCTGACTGGCCTCTTTCTCCAACACAGGGCATCTTTAGAATTTTTTCCTAATTGCTCCAGAATGTGCCTCTGCTCTAGCCTCTCGGAGGAGAGCAGGAGCTCAAGAGCACCCGGAGCCAACAAGACCCACTTCCTGGTCCAAGTGACCTGGGCCCTCCCCGACCGGCCGGCCGCGGTCCCGGGCCCCGGCGGAGAGCAGGGCGAGGTCGCCGCAGTGCGGGCCGGACGGCGGCGCTGCCCGGCCCCTGCCCCGGCCCGGCCTCTGCTCCGCAAACCTCGGCCCGACCCGGCCCCA